ATTCGAAAGTGCCTCAATCATGGATTCCACAACTGGACTCAAGTTGTGATGTTCTACAATGGAGTCAATGCACCTACGAGGATGATGTTATATGACTTGGCAAATGGGACATTACTTGACAAATCACCATCAGAGGAATTTGACATTTTGGATAGGATTGCCACCAACGATTACCAATTTTCATCTACAAGGCTTGGCCTTGGGCGAAAATCACATGGAGCTTTCGAGCTAGATTCTAAGGATTCGGTGTCCACCCAACTTGCTGTTTTCACCAATATGTTGAAGAATTTGCAAAGGCCAAGTGAGGTGAGAGAATAAAGGCATCCAATTCAGCATGTTTATTGCCATGGTAATCACAATGAGAGCGAGTATCCAACCAATCTGGAATCCATCCACTATGTAGATAACCATAATCGGGCAACAACAACCCTTATTCTAATAATATTGGATGGTGTCAGCGTCCAAACTTCTTGGGGAAATCAAGGAACCAGCAATGCTAGTCAGTCCGCTAGGCAGAAAACTTCAGTGACTCCCAGGGTTTCCAAATGAAAATACCATGGCATAATTCTAATGAGGGAGTACAATTTCATCTAACACAAGTTCTTTGGAGGCCACAATGCTAGATTTTATAGCAACCACGAAGACCATATTGTATGACCATACGACCATCTATAAAAAACCAAGAAGCTTTGCTTTAAAGCCGTAGCTTATCTTGACTTGATTGGAGGGTCAGGTTGGTTAAATTGCCATGGCATTACATTTTTTCCCACATGGAAATCTACCTAGTGATACTGAAGTCACTCGGGCTCAAGACATGGAGCATTGTGGTACATTCACCTTAAGGAGTGGCACTAAAATCTATAAAGATGCTAAGTTCGGGGGGGTAACACTCAGAGAGCCCGGTCATGAGATTATGCACGAAGATCCGAAGTTTCAAGAATATTCACATTTGCTTGAAAACAATGAGGAGGGTTCGAAGAGTGCAGCCAATGAAAACACAAAAAAAATTGCCACGACAAAAGAAAAACCCCCATCAGTAAGAGTTGATGACCAAAGGAAACTGCAGAATTTTACCGCAACAAATTTTTATAGTGATAATCACTTGAATCTTGATGAAGAAGATAAGGAGGAGCTCGAGGATATTCCAAATGTGATGAGTCATAGCTTACCCATAGCTAGACCAAGTATGAAATTTGAACCTTTGGATTTTATTGAACTCACTTATCCTAAACCCCAAGTGATTGATCATATGTCTAGGCTAGAAATTATAAAAGAATTAAGGAATGAAATGAAGATTAAGGAAAAATTCCCTAATGATAAATTATTATTTGCCGCGGCAATTTTGTGACATGCTAACATTGTCAATTTTCTCGTTAGTGTTGTTTTGCTTTCTTACTTCAATAGACTAGGAAAGAACAAGGTCATACATGATGGTGGCTACTATCATGGGGATGATCCCGACCTCTTCAACAAATTTGTTGCCCAAATGATTTCAAGTTGCCACAGCAAAAAGGAGCAAAAAGAGATCTCATTCCTCTACCATTCATCTTCACGCAGAGAATACTTTGAAGAAAAAGGACTACTGCAAATGTCCTATAATTCAGATGTGAAAGACCCAAAATGCCATGGAAAAATATTTTAAAGGCAGAACTATTATATGTGTGGGTATTTTGGTCTATACTGGTGCTCCAATCGAACGAGACAAAAATGCCATAACAATTTGAGATATTTCGGAAAGCACAGACTCTCAAACATATGGACAAGGGTAAATGCCTACAGTAGTTGCACCCACTTAGAGATAAGACTTAATTAGTATTGGCAAATGATGATTACTGATGATGTCCACCCATATGCACAAATGGCACGGCAAATTGCAACACTTCTGGCCAAGCAGAGCCAAGATCAAGTGGTGAATCCGACCAGCAACCTGATGACCTTCTTTGCCTATATCAAGAGACGGGATGAAGATGTGGAAATAGTCTTCATGGAGCTCATTCCGCTGCCCACTAAGTCAATGGAGGAGACACAATCCAAGATACCATGGCAAGCTCCTTTACGTAGGAGCCGACACCGCCTGAAGAAGGCATCTAAGCGCGAGGAGCCCCAGCTCTTAATCATCTCTGAAGGTCCCAGTACTCCTCCAGTTGCACTCGCTTATGACTCCAAACACTCCAACCCCACCCAACTGCGTAAGCGCACCCGTGGCACGACCGCCGCACCACCACACGCATAAAGTCAAGGTACCTTGTATTGCATTGCATTGTATTCATAGCATGTAGTTTCATTTTCTTTCATTTTAGTAAACATTGGGGATAATGCTTCTCTCAAGTTTGGGGGAAGTAGGGTTCTCACATCATTGTATGATAGTAGTAGTCAAATAAATATGCCATGACATTAGTAATGTTCGAATAGTTTTCTGGAATTAGTTAAGGATGCCCAATGATGATGAATTCTTGATGGATAGGATATAATGTACATGACTGGTTGAGGATGATAGAACTAACTCTAGGGCTTACTTCTTTGAAATCCTTGAAAACACGATTATATGTTTTCCATGCTTGAGAAACTTAGGAATTTTTTATAAGAGAATTCTTAAATGTCATGGAATAAAACTTTGAATGATGAAAACTACTGTTAAAAAAAGATTGAAAAATGATGATAAAGTTATAAATAAATGCCTCGACATATCTGTAGAGGGACACTCCGTTATGCCAGGGCATATGAGTGAATGAAAGTAGTCACGAGATGACTCTACCTGACTAGCTCGGGGGTGAAAGGTATGCTCCCTTTCACCTAGAGTGTGGGATGGTAAAGTGATGGGCTGACTCCCTTCGTAGTAGAAATAAAGGAAAGAAAGCAAGGTGAGAGTAAAAATTTCTAAATGTCATGGCAAATTAAGAAAGTTTGTTTAGAAATTTTTTAAGTTTGTTAAGCACGGACTGGATACAACATGAACACCCCACACAAAGAATCTTGCCTTAGGGGACAGTACTAGATTTCTCAAACCTAGTCTAGTATGTTGAAGCCATATGTACGAGGGCTGAAATTTTATCCCATAAGACTATTCTGCTTCTGAACTTGTCATGGTATTTCTGTTTTGCTTATTACTATCCATTGCTTGAGGACAAGCAATAGCTTAAGTTTGGGGGTGTGATAACTCCGTAAAATGTCATATTTTGGGACCTTTTCACTTAAGTTATTGAGTGTCTAATAGCTCATTTAGGACCTTGTAAATGCATTTAGAAGCATTAGTTGCATGTGGTGGAATTCAGTTTGCCGCGGCATTTTATTTTTAAAGAGGTGTGCTTTATGGGAAAGGTGCTTGTTGATGATGTGCAGGAATTGAAAGCAAGGAAAATGAAAGAAAATGTCATGACATAAGGAGATTGCTGAGCAAAATGAAATTTCCAAGTTCGACTGGCATTTCGATAGCGCTTAAAATGCGAGAAGATATTTTTGAAGCCAGCTGTCTCCGACTTTTTGAGAGCTCTGCCCGAGAAATCTGCCTCGAAGATCTGCCTGGAGGGGTCGGTGCTGCTACAACTGATCCTGCTGACCACATCGCCTGCTCTGCAGATCATGTCTGTCCTTGGGCGTCTACAGCGGGATTATGCCGGGTACTCAGTCGGCAACCCAGACTGGATCACTACTATGCTATGCCTGATACCCACGTGATTTAAGCATGGTTTGGGGTTTCCTAGGAATTTTAACACCAAGTCCTAGGGTTAATTTTCCCCTATAAATAGAGGATGAAGCCACAATGTTAGGGATTTTGGTTCCACCCAAATTTGAGCTTAAAAGGTTAGAGAGAGAAGGTTTCATCTTTCTCCGTCAATCCTACTTGTCGTGGTATTTCTCCTTGACAAGCCTGAGGGAGTGGCGTCCTAAGCATCAGAGAGGAGTCAGTTCGCTAGGAGCAGTGCTTGGTGGCCGAGGGAAGTATTGGGCAGTGCACGTCGAAGGCTTTCTCCTCCCTTAGTTCTTTGCTTTCATATTTTGTTATTGGGTTGTAAGGAACGAATGATATTTGCTTTGAACTAATCCTATTTGGTGGGAGTTCACTTGGATGTTTAAGTTTATATTTCAATAAATGGTTTCTTTTCTATACTTTAACATGTTTTGTTTATGAAACTTAATGCCTTAAGGTTGTAGGAGCTATGAGAGTAGCCTTTCCTTAGGAGGTCTTGAGGGTTTGAGAGAATGCCTTGGCAAATTATCCTTAGTGTTGAGAGAAACTAGGGATGAACTATAAAGCAAGGGGTTCTAGGTAGTAACTAGGCCTAATCCACCTTAGAGACAATGTTAGGATTTCATTCGACTAAAAGGAGTTGTGCAAAAATGATAGGTTAGATGTTAATGCTGCCACAAAAAGGTATTGTCGAGACATATCCTGTTATCTGGACCAATAGGATCATTGTAGGGGTTTACGCTAATTGGTTATGCCATGGAATCTTTAATCTATCGAGTCCCTTACTAGAGATAGCATAGGTCACCTTAGTAGACTCTGTCGGGCAGGCTAGGCATAGAAGAAATATCATTCGGAGAAATAGACTTAGATTTTCCTAGTGACTCCTATCACTCATTCCCATAGCAGCTTGTCGTGTGAGAAAGACAAAGTCCTATTAATCAAATCGTATATTATTTCATTTTGCCTTGACATTTTCATTTGTTTGCACTCAACACAATTTAATTTGCTACGACATTTCCATCCTTTCCATGACATATCCATTTGCTACCATACCGACATTCCATTTCCACAACATCCATCTAATTTTGCCACAACATTATCATTTTTACATACTATCACTAACTTTACTTAGTTGACAAAGTAAAGCGCTTTGATAGAACTTATTCAACTTCCTCCAATCCCTGTGGAGACGATACTCACTTATCACTGTATTACTTATTCGATTGTGTATACTTGCACATATTTGCACACTCATTTATAGTACTCATATCTAGCGGACAGTGACCCCCTATCACCCTACATTATTTTAGCAATGAATGTTCTGTCTAATCATTTAATGTGGCTGCAAAAGAAGTCTTTAGCTATCACCCTAAATGCAAGAGGATTGGTCTCACCCCTTTGTTTCGCGGATGACCTCCTCATTTTCTGCAAGAGTTCCATTGACTCTGTTATGGGAGTACAGGCTGTGCTAGATCAGTTCTACTCCATGTCAGGGTTGAAGCTGAATGTCAGTAAGTGTGAGATGTATGTTGCTAGTATTTCTGGTGAGCAAGTCAACACCATCAAGGAAATTATTGGTTTCAAATTAGGTAGCCTCCCAGTCATATATTTGGGAGTCCCATTGGTTACCAGGAAGGTGACTGTGAAAGACTGCCAAAGTCTCATAGACAAACTTAGGACAAAGCTAAGTTTATGGGCCAATAAGCACCTTAGCTTTGCAGGAAGGCTGTAGCTTGTTCATTCTGTCATGCTCATATTTCGAATTACTGGTACAGGCAGCTCATACTGCCTCAAGCTATTACTAGAAAAGTTGAGCAACTGTGTTCCCGATTCTTTTGGAAAGGGACTGATGCCCCTGCTAAAGGTACTAGAGTTAGTTGGAAGATTGTTTGCCTGCTGAAATTTGAAGGTGGATTGAGGATAAACGATGTAGGGGGTGGAACAAATCTTGCATAGTTCAGCTTATCAGGAAGCTTTTGGCTAATGAAGGCTCCCTTTGGGTGGCTTGGATGCACTCCTATGTTATTAGTAATGTTGATTTTTAGCAGATGGAAGCCCTATGAATACAAGCTGGAGCTTCAAGTTTGCTGAAAATCAAGCCTGATGTTGCCCACCTCTTTCTGGGTCAGATTCGTGATCTCAGTACGAGGTATATGGGAAGAACTCTGCACCTCTGCCCCAAGGTTACTTGGCACCATTTGGTCTGGTTCTCTGGACGTATCCCCAAGCACAACATTATTGAATGGATGGCCATACTGAACAGATTGCCTACTCGGGTTAGGCTCTTGCGAATGGGCTTAGCCATTGAATCTGATAGATGCTTACTGTGTGGCAATGAGGCAGAGGCAAGAGATCACCACTTCTTTGAATACTGATTTGCTAAGGAACTGGGGTTCCATTCTTGAACTGTGTTGCATCTCTCGTGGAGATAGCAGCTGGGATGGTGAACTGGGGTTCTACTACTCAAGGGTAAATCTCTCATCGTGAGAATACTTAAACTTGCTTGGACTGACCACGTTTATAGCATATGGAAGGAAAGAAATGGCAGATTGTTTGGGAGTAGAGCTAGATCAAAGAAAGAAGTGATGGAAGATATTAAAAAGACCATCTGAATCCGGCTGGTAGGCAAATCCTTCAACAGAGCAGACCCGTAATATTTCCCTGTGTGAAAAATAGGGCATGCCTGAGTAGGTCCTGTCTTATTGTTCTGTCTTGTTAGCTGGATTAGCGTAGTGTGCTTTCTAGATTTGCTAATGAGTTTATTGTCTTTGTATATTGTAGCAGTTTTTTTGCTTCTTAGGTAATGGAAATTGAATTATCCAAAAATATATATTTTTTTATTCTTAATAATTATGCCTTTTTGACATTTTTTTGTCTTTATAATATATTTTTCTCTTTTATGGTTCGTTTGCCGATGCAGTCAGATCTATTCGTATTTATCTCTTGTTCAAGTTTATTTGATTAATTTTTTAATATTTTCCTTGTATGATCTTTTGTGTGATCTTAGTCAAGTGACTAATTTTCTTGTGTTTAAGAAAATAATCTTATATATATATGTTTAGTTTATCGTTGTGTGTAAACCTTCATTATAATTTGAAATATTTTTTTTTAAAAAAAATTAGCGGCTTCTATCTAAAAAAACTAAAATAATATCAAATACAAAATAATAAAAGAAATTTTATTTAAAAACTTAATTTTCATAATGATATTATTTTGGTAAAAAAATCAGAAACATGGGTCGGAAGCATAAACAATATAAACAATATAGGGGGAGGTTGAAGAATCTATTTTTTTAGAAGAGTATTTACTTTCTGATTCATTAAAAGAGTTTAGTTTAGGGATATAATCATATAAGGTTTTTAAGAAAAGCATTCCTTGGTTTTTTCCTCACCAAAATTAACTTTTGGTAAAACTCATGTCCCTTGTTTGCCACATCAAGCTTACAGGAGTCTGGAGTGAAAAATAATGTGGGTTTGCAACGAGAAATTAAATCTCGGGGATAGGGAATATTTTATATTAAAGGAATTTAATGGTTTAAACGTATCTAATACCCATTACTCCTCGAAGAATACGGATTGTCAGCCAACAATCTTAAAGATTATCTTTTATACTGTTCAAAAAAATTAAACATTAACCTTTAGAAGAATGTAAAAATATATATGTATAATAATCAAATATTTTCTAAAAGATATTTGATGGAATAATTGTAATCGGTGGTGAATCCAGTAATACTTTTCAGGGTTGACACATATATATTAATAACATAATTTTTTGTATAGATAGACACAATTAAAATTTCAGGATAGTCATCTTCAGTAAAATGAATACTAATAAAAAAGAAGTTCGAACTTCAGGGTGGACGTACCCACCCTGAATAAAGGCTACATCCGCCACGATTGTAACTCAACGAAGTAAGTTTAGATATCGTTTATGTTATTCAATAAAATTTTCTCTAATTCTTTCTCAGTGCAATACTTCCAAAGTCCAACCATGATCATTAAAATTAGCATTGATATTGTCATTAAGGTCAAACTATTTACACCCAAATAGTAATTTAAATAGTGATGTATGTTACGCGATTATTATTTTATTTTCAAAAAATATGTTTGATATGATATATAGTATAATACTTTTAAACTTCAATATCTCTTTTTTTTTTTGTGGATTAATATCCACACCTCTCCTCGTCACGGGTAATTATTACAGTTGTCCACTTTATGTATCCTTATTATTAGGGTGTTCGATGTGAAATCAGGTAGTAAAAGCGTTGCTCTGGTACAAATAACGGAACTAAATGGATGCTGGGAGGGGTTGTAGTCCCTTAATCTCGGAAAGAAAAATTGTTTACATTTAATATATATATATATATAGAATAATTATAAGTTGTCCTCTCACTTTGAAAAAAAAATGTACTTTACCCCTTCAAATTAAAATTCAGACTGTCCCTATCTCGTACCACTTATCAATGGAGCCATTAGTCTCTATTCAAATGACACATCTAATAGGATGTGTAACACAATCACTTTTAAACTTTATGACACCTTTATTCCCTTTATGATATGAGATTAATTTCCTTCACCTTTCTAATATGTTTCATGTGGCTATAGTTTAGATTTGTGGATGTAATTTTTTAATTAAAAAAATCTAAAAAGGATATAAATCTATTTAGATCCTCTATTATAATTCATTTTTTATTTTACCTCTATTTTGTATTATTAATTATACTTTGTCTTTTGAATTGATATTTTGGCTCCATCTCTTAACTTAAAGGTTTTGATACTCCATTTGATATGAACCGATTCAACATCATGATCATTCTTGCATCTCCAACCTTTCATAAGATTCAAGTGATATACATTCTTGCATCTCCAACCTTTCATAGAGTTCAAAAGAGAGTCTTTTTACATTTATATTTATGTTCATACTATGTGGTTATATCTCATTTACTATGATATGGACATATTCATATATATATATATACACACACACACGTTATATCTATAGTTATAATAATAATCTTTCTTTCATATGAAACTTAAGTTATTATTATAACATATAGTCCACATATTTATATTATATATATATTATTTCAATTTACTTAACTTATATTACGAGTTCTTTGTGAAGGTATGCGACCACATATTGGGGAGCTGAAACAAGCTAGCAAATGGAGTCCAAAGATATGAGAACTTAACTAGGACAACTCCGAGGAAGCTAAGGAACAATTTTGGAAAAAGTTGCCAGCTGCACCTTGAGCTCGTATCTGGGTTGAGTTGGACTTTTGAGCTAACTAGGATATTCAATTCAGCTGGGGAATTGCAACAATTTCATCCTTTATCAAAGAGCTTCAATCCTATGCAAAAATTTTCTACAGTTCGTGTCTTTTCGTGAAGAGGTGTCATTCCTGGACATGACTCTTCACCAAGAGTTGCCAAAAGATTCATCAAGTTATAAGTCACCTATGGCTAGCTCACTTTCAAATCATTCACCCTAGAACATGTTCATTCATGAAAGGTTACATTCATGAAAGGTTACATTCCAAGCATTGTGTCCTTTCATGAAGGTTGTTGTCCATGAAGAGTCACTATCACATGAGTGCACGTTGGTAAAGAGATTTCAACCAAAGGAGGCCTAAATTACAAAGTGACATGAGGAAGACCAAGCTATTTATTCGGCCAAACACATACGCCTTGAACATGGAAGAGTTTGATGCTAAAGTGAACAAGTACATGCCTATTCGGCCAAGGGAGTGTTCATTCATTCTAGCCGAATCATCATGCCTTTATGAAGAGTTAGCCGAACAATCATGATGCCAAGTGACCTATGCATTTATCTAATAAATCATGTACATTCATTAAATCATGCACATTGGTCAAAACATCACTTAACTATTCTGCCAAGGCCTTCATTTCATATAATTAGGAAGGTTTTCATCCTTTGTAAAACATCTCATACTTAAATCAAATTATCTTTGTGAGTTAATCTCTCTTCCAAGTTCTTTTAAGAACTATATTGGTTAAGCAAGTATATTTCTATACTTGTGGTGTCATTCTATCCACCTTGATACTTCAAATTCCTAGATTCATATCTAGTGGATTTAAGTCACTTTCTACATCCCCTCGAGCAAGTTTGTAAAGACTGGGGTTGTGCTTCTTAGCATAGTTTCTTCTTCGACGTGTTTGAGATATTATCTTTACCATCGTCTCCATTGCCGCCCATTCAACTTCAACACCATCTTCATCAACTCCATTGAAGGCCACCATCATCATTATCATATCTTCCGCAACCTACTCTATCCTTATCTTATTTATATTTCATTTTCATTTCATTATCTTATATTTACTAATCTTTATTCAAACTTTTCTTTGTTGCAACCAATACTTCAATTTGAGGGCAACACTTGTTTCTAGTCTAATCAATCACAGTTTTAAAAAACACTTTTAATAGAACTTATCTTCAACAAATTAAATATAAAATGTCTCAATAGTTATTTATGTATAATTCCATGATCTAATATGGGGAATGTTAATTGGACGGGAATGATGTGGATGCTCCTCTCGCACCTATCCTCAGTAATAATTTTTATTCTTATCCTTGTTCTACTAATTGTTATGTGTATAAAGCCCATAATCATCATCTCCATGCAACCTGTAAATTTAAATTCATTCACGCCCTCACTATCCACGTGATATTCATATGCACCTAATCCTCATCATAACTATCTCACGACCCACTTCTTACAAATATCAACTAAATGAACATAAATAATTTTTATGAAAAAAGTATGAAATATCTGTCTTTCAAATTTTTATTACATATAATATATTATTCTAATTGTCACTATTTTTTTAAATAACAAATCATTTATGATCCTTAATTAGTAAATTAAAGAATATCTTATTTATGAAAGACATGTTCCGTTAAAAGTTCTTATAAAATACTTATATGACATGTCTAGTAAAAAATAATATTATCTACAAAAAAAAAAAGAAAAATTTTATTTTTAAAAAATAATTTTCTTAATGATTTATTTGGTAAAAAAAATTCCGAGAAACGTGGGTCGGAAGCGTATAAGTGATTTCTGTATTTGGGCCAATTTTAGGCCATTATGGCCTTTTGGGTGTAATCAAACGACCCAAAGATTTGGAAATTGTTGCATTCTTTTGTAGTTAAATCTCTTGTTCTTGCTAACACTATCGGTTCTCGTCTTGTTGGGTCAATAGGTGACCATAAACAACCCCATTGTTATTCACCTTTCGATCCTCTATATATATATTCACATAAAATTTTATATAACTGTGCGTACCTTTTTTGTCAATATTAGCTCTCAACTCACACACTCTGCTCCATCTTTGCCATTGAACTCATTGACCCAGAAAGGTAAACTTCAATTCCTCACTACCCTTTCATTATTTTTTTAAATATTAGTCATACCCTTGACCTGTAATTTAAGATTACCTTTTTGAATTTTTTTTCTGTAATGGAAC